TAGACTTTACTAAGTAACTTCACCCAAGTCTGCTCTCCTCCTCTAGACTTTACTAAGTAAGTTCAGCCCCGTCTACTCTCCTCCTCTAGAGTTCACTAAGTAAGTTCACTCCAGTCTACTCTCCTCCTCTAGACTTTACTAAGTAACTTCACCACAGTCTGCTCTCCTTCTCTAGACTTTACTAAGTAACTTCACCCCAATCTACTCTTTTTCTCTGGACTTTACTAAGTAAAAGAATCTTAGTCTTAGGTTTCCTACCTACCTTGAACTATTAGTGGAACAGTTTCGGTTAAAGAGTGGCCCACATTGTTGTCTGCCTCACACATGTAGTAGCCTGAGTCCGAACTCAAAACTCCTGTTATTGTAAGAGAACCGTTCTCCAGCACGTGTTTGTGTGGTCCACTAATTATGTTTTTATAGTGTGAGGACCCTCTTTCTGAAAGCGTTAGACAAAATCAATGCACATTTAGTTAAGAAGTGAATATGAAGAAATTTTTCTCCAAAACGTTGATACAATGATATATTGAATAACTCCTTAAAGTGTATATATTAGAACCAGAAATATATATTCTGAAAATTGCTTTTCTGAAGGAAAGACACGTTTTAAAGTTAAAAAAAGGTTAAAATCGTAAGTATTTAGCTCTATGGGAAACAGCCAGTAAGCAACATTGTATACACGTATTCTTTTGAAACATAATATTCTCTGTTACAAAAAATATATTTGAATGAGGGTTGCGTAAATAATTAATACTTTAATACGCTGCTCTAGCTCCATAATTAACTCAAACTTGTTAATATTAAATGAAGCTGAAAAGATGATATTTTTTATTACAGACGAAATCGGGTTTTATGTTCTTCTCGGACTTTCAGTGTGTTTACTTTTAACTACATTGCTGATGTGTGTTTTTACTTTTTACCACATTCCTGCGGTGTGTTTTTTTCGCACTTGCAAAGTTCTAACCTTTGTTTCCAGGCTTTTTGTCTGAAATTGTTGTAATGCAAACTCTAACTTTAAATATCTTGGCGAAACAAAAGTTGAATCTTATTTCAATTAATCGTTTTATCTTCTAAAATAAAGAATAAAAGTGATTCAAAAGTACAAACTATCACTCAAAAGATGTCCATACACGCACATGTCGCAGACGTTATGTCGCTTAAGTTATCGATTTAATTTCTAAGTTCATATCCTGAAATTACTTGATATTACGTCGCCAATATTTTAAGAGATATGAAACCGGATGACATTGATATATTTACTAATCCTAAGCCCTTATGTTTAATTAATATCTAAAGACCGTCGTTTCTTTTGAAAGTTATTATTGTTCTACTTACTTCTATCGTATTTTTTATTATTACAGAGCTGTAATTTCAACTGTATTACAAGGCTGAGTTAAACAACTTACTTCTACTATATTTCCACCGTATTACAGGGTTGGGTTGGCCATCTGCCTGACAGTCGAGTCTCACCAATTGGCTCAAGACAACACGTGTTTCTGTTGGCTTTATTCTCCAACGAGGAGACGCTAAAAGATTGAAAAGGAGAAATATTTCTGCCTCCTCTTGAATTATCTTGCTCAGTGGAGAAATTAAATCATATTTTAACAAATTCTTTAAGGTCAAAGGTAGCTTTATTAAACTCTCAATTTACACAAACAAAGCTAATCTCTGTATTCCAAATCTAGAGACAAATTTATGATTATTTTTTCTAGCCTCCTGCACACTACGTCATCTGACAAAACGCAGGCAAAAGCTAGTATTTATCATAAATTTAAAGAGGTATAATTAGATACAAGGATTACCTTCAGATCTCTCAAACCACGTGGAAACTGTAATTATTTCTCTACATCTGGCCTTATCTCGTGTATAGGCGGAGACGAGAAACTGTCTTATGTATTCTTCACATCAAAATTATTTAGACTAACAAGTTATTGAAGAGTAAAGCTGTCTAATAAAAACTAGAATTATTCTTCTTGCCTGCGATTCTAATGAAGAATAGGTTAGTCTCCTTTTGTGTAAAACTGAAGGATATTAATCTCTTGTATCTCACCTCGTACATAAAAATGGTGGAGATTATAGTTAGGCTCCTATATTTCATTTTGTGTGTGGAACTAATATTTACTAGCATTAGTTTCCTAAGCCTCACATCGCATGTGAAACTGATGACTATTAGTGTCCTACAACTCACTTTTCATGTACAACAGATGGATTCTAGCATTAGTCTCCTACAACTCATTTTACATCTGAAAATGATGAATATTAGTCTTCTACAACTCACTTTACGTGTGAAGCTGATGAATATTAGTCTCATACAACTCACTTTACGTGTTAAGATGATGAATATTAGTGTCCTACAACTCGCTTTACATGTGAAACCGATGATTGTTAGTCTCTTACAACTCACTTTACATCTGTAACTGATGAATATTAGTCTGCTACAACTCACTTTACGTGTGAAGCTGATGAATATTAGTCTCATACAACTCACTTTACGTTTAAGCTGATGAATATTAGTGTCCTACAGCTCGCTTTACATGTGAAACCGATGATTGATAGTCTCCTACAACTCACTTTATATCTGAAACTGATGAATATTAGTCTTCTACAACTCACTTTACATCTGAAACTGAAGAATATTAGGCTCATACAACTCACTTTACATGTTAAGCTGATGAATATTAGTGGCCTACAACTCGCTTTATATGTGAAACCGATGATTGTTAGTCTCCTACAACTCACTTTACATCTGAAACGGATGACTGTTAGTCTCCTACAACTCACTTTACATGTGAGACTGGTTGAAACTAGACGTAGTCTCCAATATTTCACTTTGCACGTGAAACCGATGGAGGTAGAAATAGTTACCTCGTGTGCAGAACTGAATAAGGGTAGAATTAGTTTCTTAAATCTCACGTCACATGTGAAACAGATAAAAACTGGAATTAGTCTCTGACATACCCTACCTCTCACAAACATAGCAGCACTTATATTAACAGATGCTGCCTTGTTTCTTGCTTCGCACGTGTAGTTTCCATTGTGGTGTCGGTCAACAGTGTCAATGATGAGGGAGAGGATGAATTCACTGATGGACACAATTCTCATGTTGCCACTGATGTCTTGTATACGCTGGTCATCTTTATACCAAGCCAGTCTGACTGGAGAGTCTCCGGCCAAGACTGTGCATAATGCTGTTGCTCTCATTCCCTCCTCTAAATTCTTTGGAAATGAAAATGGACTGACGACTGGAGCAGCTGAAAAAATAATTTAAAAGTTTCAACTTTCTCTACAGTCTGGTTTAACATAGCTATATTTTACGAGTTTAGTTCGTGTGATATAAGAAATGGTGCGAAAATTAATTCTAAGAAAATATTTGTTTTAGATCATCACTAATATGTTCTTCCCTCAGATCAAGATCTTTCCAGAATCAATGTGTTCTTTTCTCAGATCAAAGTATTTCCAGCAGTGACGTGTTCTTCCCTCATATCAAGATCTTTCCAGTAGGGACGCGTTCTTCCTTCATATCAAGATATTTCCAGTAGTGACGCGTTCTTCCCTCATATCAAAATATTTCCTGCAGTGACGTGTTCTTCCCTCAGATCAAGTTTTTTCCACCAGTGACGTGTTCTTCACTCAGATCAAGATCTTTCCAGCAATGACATGTTATTCCCTCACATCAAAGTCTTTCCAGCAGTAACGTGTCCTTCTCACAGATCAAGATCTTTCCAGCAGGGACGTGGTCTTCACTCAGATCAAGGTTTTATCCAGCAGTGACGCGTTCTTCCCTCATATCAAGATTTTTTCGACAGTGACGCGTTCTCCCCTCATATCAAGACCTTTTCAGCAGTTACGTATTCAATCCTCAGATCAAGGTTTTTTTCCAGCAGTTATGTGTTCTTTCCTTAGCTTTACTATACTGCAAATAAAGTCGAAATATTCTACAAACAAAATAACAAATACAATCAAAACCGCATAGGCGACGAAAATAACAAAATTAAATAATAGGTTAAACAATCGCCAAGTTATCTATATTTGTAATAAGAAGAATGACATTATCCTTCTTTTGATAGAAAAATACGATATTAGTTAAATTTCAACTATATTTAATAGATGTATTAAACACTATTCAGCAACAGGTATACAATCTTTTGAGCATTGCTTCAATAATTAAACAATATTCGTGAACAACTAAACTATATTGGGTGTATGGCTTCAATATTAAATATTAACTAGCAACAATTACACAATCTTGTGTGCATTGTTTCAGTATTGAACAATATTCAGCAACAGTTATAAAATCTTTTGTGCATTTTTCGAGCAGAAATTTGGTTGTTTTTGTGGCCATACTAAATTTAATAGTTTAACTGTTAATTGCTGAAACAATGTTTTAAAGGTATACATGGTAGGCCATAGAGACCCCTGACATTGAATAGTTGAATATAATTTGTTGAGTCCATATACATTATGTTATGAGGGGAGTCATAAAACCATTACAACCCTTAGAAACTGAATGGTTAAACTATCAGTAGTTGAGTCTGAATACGTTATGTTATGAGGTTGAGTCATAGATCCCTTATACCCCTTAGAAACTGAATGGTTAAATTATCAGTAGCTGAGTCTGTGTACATTAGGGTTATGAGGGTGAGTCATAAAACCATTACACCCCTCAGAAACTGAATGGTTAAATTATCAATAGCTGAGTCTGTGTACATTAGGTTATGAGAATGAGTCATAGAACCATTACACCCCTCAGAAACTGAATGGTTAAATTATCAATAGCTGAGTCTGTGTACATTAGGTTATGAGTGTGAGTCATAGAACCATTACACCCCTCAGAAACTGAATGGTTAAATTATCAATAGCTGAGTCTGTGTACATTAGGTTATGAGGGTGAGTCATATATTTCTTATACCCCTTACTTTTTAAACACCGACTTTTGTATCAAGCTGCATTTGTTACACCTGCACTTCTTTTCTAACGTACTTAGTGGCCAAGTCATTTATACTTCCATAAATCCTTTTATAACGTGCTTAGTGTTTTTTTTTCACTCATACGTTTGAAAAGTTCTTGTCATGTGATTTATGTAATGTTTTCAAATGAAATATAAAATAATTTCAAGATTGAAAATATTAAACTCACCAAGAACTTTTAACTCGAAGTATTTTATTGCATTTTCTCCCTGGCCATTTTCAGCAATACAGCTGTAAAGCCCTCCATCTTCGGCTCTTATTTCACGGATTATAAGCATCCAATCTTGTGTCTTGACTCTATGTGTTGTTGGAATAGTTCGTCCATCTAAACGATAATCAATGTAATACTTAAAGAAAGCTACAAATATTCGAATCAGCAACGAGCAAGTTATTACTTTAATCAGGTTGTAATTTAAAATTTTACTTTTTAAATATGAAAACCCTTAGAAAAACTCAATTTTTAGGGTTGAAAATAGAAGAACAAGTGACAGCAAAAGGAAAGTCAGACAGAGAATGAAGAAAGGACAAGTGGCAATGTGGAATCATATTGAAAATGAAGAAAGGACAGGAGGCAATATAAAGTCATAAAGTGAATGAAGAAATGATAAGTGAAAATATGAAGTCATAAAGGGAATTAAGAAAGGACAAGTGGCAAAAGTAAGTCATACAAAGAATGAAGAAAGGACAATTAGTAATATGATGTCATATAGAAAATGAAGAAATTACAAGTGGGAATATGAATTTATACAGAGAATGCAGAAAAGATAAGAGACAATATGAAGTCACACAGAGAATAAAGAAATGACAAATGGTAATGTTGAGTCATACAGAGAATGAAGAAATGACAAGTGGCAATATGAAGTCATAAAGAAAATGAATAAAGAATAAAGGGCAATATGAATACAGTCAATGAAGAAATAACAAGTGGCAATATGAAAACATAAAAGGAATGAAGAAAGGACAAGTGGCAAAAGTAACTCATACAGAAAATGAAGAAATGACAAGTGGATATATAAAGTCATACAATGAATGAAGAAACGAGTGGTGGTAATATGAAGTCATACAAAGGATATAGAAAGGACAAATGGCAATATGAAGTGATACAAAGGATATAGAAAGGACAAGTGGCAATGTAAAATCATACAGAGAATCAAGAAATCACAAGTGGCAATAGGAAGTCAAAAAAGAGAATGAAGAAATCACAAGTGGCAATAGGAAGTGATAGAGGGAATGAAGAAAGGACAAGTGGCAATATGAAGTCAAAAAGGAAATGAAGATAGGACAAGTGGAATTATATGAAGTCATAAAAGGAACTTAAAAAGGACAAGTGGATATATGAAGTGATAGAAGAAATAAGAAAGGACAAGTGGAAATATATGAAGTCATAAAAGTAATTTAAAAAAGACAAGTGGATAAATGAAGTGATAGAGGGAATGAAGAAAGGACAAGTGGAAATATATGAAGTCATACAAGGAACTTAAAAAGGACAAGTGGATATATGAAGTGATAGAGGGAATGAAGAAAGGACAAGTGGAAATATATGAAGTCATAAAAGGAACTTAAAAAGGACAAGTGGCTATATGAAGTGATAGAGGGAATGAAGAAAGGACAAGTGGAAACATATGAAGTCATAAAAGAACTTAAAAAGGACAAGTGGATATATGAAATGATAGAGGGAATGAAGAAAGGACAAGAATGTTGAGTCATACAGAGTATAAAGAAATGATAAGAGGCCATATGAAGTCAAAAAGTGAATGAAGAATGGACAAGCGGCAATATGAAGTGATACAAGGAATAAAGAAAGGACAAGTGGTAATAGAAAGTCATACAGAGAATGTAGAATGGACAAGTGGCAATGTTGAGTCATACAGAAAATGAAGAAATGACAAGTGGCAATATGTAGCCATTCAGAGAATGAAAAAATAACAAGTGGTAATGTTGAGTCATACAGAGAATAAAGAAAGGATAAGTGGCAATATCAAGTCATAAAAAAATGAAGAAAGGATAAGTGACAATATGTCATACAGTGAATGGAGAAATGAGAAGTGGCAATATGAAGTCATAGAAATTGAAGAAATTACAAGTTGCAGTATGAAGTCATACAGAGAATTAAGAAATGATAAGTGGCAATTTGAAGTCATGAAAATGAAGAAATGACAATTGGCAATATAAAGTCATACAGAAAATGAAGAAAGGACAAGTGACAATATAAAGTCATACAGGAAATGAAGAAAGGACAAGTGGCAATATGATATCATATAGAGAATGAAGAAATTACAAGTGGCAATATTTAATCTTACAGAGAGTGAAGGAAGGAAAAGTGACAAATTATAGTCATGCAGAGAATAAGAAAGACAAGTGACAATATGAAGTCATAGAGTGAATGGAGAAATGACAAGTGACAATATGAAGTCATAGAGTGAATGGAGTAATGACAAGTGGCTGTAAACGGTGATGCATGCGAAGGAAGAAAGCCAAGTGTTCGAGTTATATCCTTGAACCTCTGTCAACTATTTATTATTTTGAGTTCACTTTGAGGGCTCGTTGGATGTTTTCCTTTAAAGTTTTAACTGAAACTAATAAATATTAAGATTAATATCATGGGGTGTCTGTCTCCCATCTTGAAATTACCGGACTTGGGATGTGTAGACTTCTCCGATGAGTGATATTAAGAAAACACTGTCAATGTAAGAAGATACAGGGAAGTAAGTACATTCTCCAAACACAACATTCTCTTAGTTACCTGTAAGTGAACACAAGCTATACAGAGTTATTGGGAATAATTAAAAACAACCAAAACGACACGGTCAATATTTTACCTCACCACGTGAACAGCGATAGAATATAAACATGTGTTTCTAGAGAATGAAATAAATGAAAAGTAGTCGATTTTCACCAGAAGAAGAAATAACTAAAAATGTACAAAACATGAAGGTATAGAACAAACATGGTATAGAAATGCTTTAGAATTAAGAAAGTACACTACAAAATATAGAACCGTCTTGTTCAGGACAAATTTTGTAAAGAAGAAACAAGATACAGAACAAAATACAGTTGCATAAACAATTTACAGAACAAACAAGGTACCGAAAAAGTACAGAACAAATACTGTAAATAACAAACAAGGTGCAGAAGAAAGGAAAGATCAAACAATGTACATAAAAATGATACACATAACAATGTACAGAACAAACAATATACAGAATAATGTACAGAACAAACAATATGCAGAAAAGACAAAACAAGGTATAGAACAAAAGCTGTACAGAACAAACCTTGTAGCGAACAAGCAAGGCATAGAAAAACAACGTACAGAATAAACAATTTATAGATCAAAGACGGTATTCACCTACGAGATAGAGTCCGTTTCTTATTTGTTTGCTTTCCAAAAACTTTCATACAAAGTAGCTTTGAGCTTAGAAAAAGATCTTATCAGAAACTCTGACTGACCTTTCCTGAAGTAGACCTCTTCTATAGGATGTCCGGACACAGGACACCTAACTTCAAGAGAGCGGCCAGTAACAACAGTTAGGTTTTCCATTGGACGTATGAAAGGACGGCCAATCACATCAATTCTAGCCTCATGTGTGGCTGTGGCGATTTGATTATTAGCTAGGCACTGATAGTTTCCACCGTCCTCAAGACGAAGGTCACTCACGTTAACGAAACTTATGAGAGTACCGTTCACATCGACAAAGTCTCCTGTTTGTAATCGCCTGTTCGACGGTAGGGCAGCTCCATCTAGCGTCCAAAACACTTGTGGGAGGGGTGATCCTATTGCCACGCACTTGAGAGACACCTCGGCTCCTGGCATCAGCAACTGCTTGTGAAACACTTTTGTTAACCTGGGTGGTTTCTCTAGAAAGAGTAAAGGAGAACACCGTATAATTGTACCAGTGTTTAATGTAGTCTGATAACATCGTATAATTCTACCAGTGTAAATAATCCGATAACACCGTATAATTGTACCAGTGTTAAATGTGATCTGATAACACCATATAATTGTACTAGTGTTAAATGTGATCTGATAACACCATATAATTGTACTAGTGTTAAATGTGGTCTGATAACACCATATAATTG